TAAAACTATTAGTGAAGGCCATGAACTTTATTTGATGGCGCGTTCAGTCACTATCCGTAGCTGTTCTGAAACGGTTATATGCGTGCAATTTGATGACCCAAGACATAACACGGCATAATCTTCTTGTCAACGCGGTTGTCAGCCAAGATGAGCAATAACTATTCGGCAATACATGAATGTATTCTTCTGAATAACAAATGAAGATAATCATAAGTAAATAGTTCCATCACGAAGATTTTATCGGAGACGTCAACAGGGACTATGAATTACCCTAAAATTCAGCTACAATCCCCCATATTTTCTACCCGCACTCAATGACTGTAGTTATTGTTAACACAATCCAGAATGGATGGCTGATAAGATTTGCAGAGGCCATAGCGATCAACCTCCGAAAGCCCCTACTGTGTCAGCAGAAGGAGGTCTACGTCAGTACGGTGTTGCTCTGGTGACAACGTAAGCGGAAGAATGAACTGATACCACGTTGGATTGTCATGACCTGTGATATATAAATTTTTTTTCTGCAGTAACACCAGTCGAGATGCAGCGAAATGATTCCGGCATTAAATCATGCTCGCTTGCAATGTTGTGTTCTTTGTTCAAGTTCATTTCGGGAAATGATTGTTTTGACTGTAGTTATGTTGGTTATATTGAGACTTCATTCTACTGGTGGTGGACTTTATTATGTAGCGGAGGACAGAAAGCAGAGCTGTTTCATCTCGATTGGAACGTGTCCGCAGTGAGCACACTGTTTTACCCTGACTGGGCAATGAATTCCCAAATTTCTAGTTCTGATTCAAAACTCACCTTGGGAGCTACACAGCTGGTTTAAAACAAACCGGATTTTACATTATTTCGATACCATTTAATTTTCAGAAGCAATAAGCGAGGTTTGCGATTGTAGTGGTGAGAAACTTGGCATAGGCAAATGTTGCTTAAGATGTCCTAAAAAGGAACCAAACAGCCGTTCAAGGCTTATCGTAGGCCATCAGAAAGTTTCCCTCGTAAATAATGCGCGCTTCTAAGTTCAGGAACCTAAAAGCAAAGTAAAATATAAGACAATGCGCAATGCTATCAAATTAATTGTATACCCTTGGATTTGATGGTGAAATGAATTCAGTAGACTTGAGCTGTTATTCTCGTATTAAGCCACTATCTTTAACTGACTTAACTGTCCTAAGCGACTTACCTGTGTCCATGCATTTGCTCGCGCCGAAATATTTAGTGCGCAGGTGGCTGACAATTGTAGATTTTGCGGAAAACCAGCGATTACTTCTACTGACGCGAAACTATTTGCCAGTGGAGACACTTGTGCGTACACATCGATGGTGACCGACTCGGCGGATTGCGATCCTGCAGCGTCCCAGGCGACTGAAAGACAAGAAAAACCAGTTACCATATCTACTCGCTTTGATCGAACACACTCTTACAAAGCTCATTGTCGTACAGCGGAATGCAGTAAATTGAAATTGACTGATTAGTGTCAACCTTACGATCGATATTAGGTTATTGAAAATTTATAGGCTGGACAGAGATTGCCCCTAGTTTGGTGACAAAGAAAGTAAACCTCTACGGTAAACACAGAGTACACAGTCTAAAGTTGTATGCAAAACTTTGTAAGCATTCTGATTATGATGACAATAAGAACACCACTTGTGTCGGTTCACTTCCATATCCTTCAATGTCTAATACCAACCAGTTATGAAGTCTTATGTATCCCAGCCTGGATGGCGGGAGACACCTACTCTACCGAACAACCGTGTTTCTTCATGCCTCGCCTCCACATCATCCGTTCATCTTTACGTGATTTTATCAAGCCCGTTGCGGTAAATCCAAAACAGATGCTTGGCGGTAGGTAGCTTTAAGGCATACGTAAAATGTATCCGTCCTAACCAGTGAAACCTACTATTCTGGAGTTAAGGCAATAGTGAACTCGTCTTTAATATATTTCCAAACACACGACTTACTTCCGGGTTGCCAACCCGCCCACTCCATCCCACCTGGGCCGAACTGCACGAGCTTCGATTAACGAATACCTTCAGGTGATGGATGTCTTCTACTCATATGTTCAAAGTCTCAGAAAAGTAACGGAGAACTGACCAAACGGTAGCATGATCTACACAAATTTCAACTTCATTGAAACAACACACGGTGGCCACAGGTGCTCCAGTTCTGTGTGTGCAGCTCCAGCCTTAGTAGTACGTGCGATCGTTTCGTTTACTGCGTTACTGTCATTGCTCACGAAACTGCCCAAGTAGCATAAGCAGTNGCAGTCAACTTCGGCTTATTCCTGATCACCTACCTTTAAAACCGGACTAGTCGGCACACAGTCTTACATTATCACTTCTGTGGCATCCCTTAAGAAACAATAACCCATTAAAACACCGGGGTCAACTGACGCAAAGTTCATCTAAAGTCGAGAAAACTAAAATCAGTGGTAAAGGATGTGTGTGAGGTAAGTCAAGCAGCCTGAACATTTGGTGGGTAACACCTCAACCAGGTTGGAATCCTGCTTACTCTTCATGTATATTGCTCATTCTCAACGGATTTAGAGGTTAACATATGACTGAGGCTAATAATTTGGTGACGACTCAGATCAAATTGATCCCTCATTGGTTTGTGCGTTCTGTTCGATATCCTTTCTTCAAAGTGAGAAAGATCAGTAACTCACCACAAGATGATGGAATGACCTCGTGTGACCAGATATTTAGCATCGAATCAGTAATAGAGTCTACGAGGTCACCATCAACCTCCATTCTTGAAAATGGTGTGAGGAAGCCTGCCGCGTCCTGACTCTTTTCCTTTCTTCACGACCTGATTACCAACTCGTACCTCGGCATCCGTGGAAGGTGCACATTAGTGGACACGTCACAAATCAATAACACTTACAACAACGGTTGTTACCAAAAACATTTTATCGTATAGTTTCTTAGTCTCTTATCAGAAAAAATAATTGATAGACCCTGTTTCACCTATCAGTCACGTAAGCCGTCTCCCTAGCACAGTGTGAAAAATGTCTATTTACTGATAGTTTTATTTAGTTAATATTAAAATGTACAGTCAACTTCCAGGAAGGAGAGTGCGGCCATGCAAAGGCTGCCTGGGTAAAAAAAACAGAAATGGGGAATGTAGGCAGCGGGGGAGAGGTTCGAACCCGGGTTGCTATTCTGGTGACCTTAACGACTGGACGAACGGTTCGTGAGGGAAAGGATAGAGTTAGCGACTCCAACGGATTTATTCATATCATGAATCAAGTTAATCTGTAAGGTGTTCATAAGATAAGGAGTCCTGACCATTTGAAGACGCAGGGAAATCAGTGACCAAACTAAATCCCCGTATCTCAAGTAAGTTCTGAGATAAAAATTTACTTTTCATTCAGATTTGCAAAGCAAGTAAATCAGGTTGAGAATGCTTAGTTGGAGTAAAAACTAATCTGCTTGTGGTCGGAAGTTAGTTATTCTAGCACTTCTCTGAAGATTATCATTCAAANTTCAAATTAGAGTTGTTTGAATGCCTACTACCTTGTTGAACACTGATTTCCGGGGTAAAGTTTGAAACGTTCACTATATTCTGGTTAGTCAGATAGGATTTATGAGGGCAATCAAATTTACCAGCTGCATTTCGTAATCAAACACTTCTGCATCACAGGCGGGTTTATCAGAAACAATACTAAAATTTACGAAGAATATAAACCGAAATCTACTGAGGACGTGAGGTATGCAGCAAACAAATTCTCGGATTGATTTTTCCAGTTTAAAAAATAAAACATCTAGTTACTGTTTAAAACTCCGCATTTAGTTTACGAAAGTGATCACTCCCCAGCCCCATTTGGAAAATATACACAATCCGATCGTTATTGAAAACAACGAATGCCTCACGTCCAAGGACGTTAAGTTTTACATCAGAGCATAATCAGCTTTCGTGGGAAAAATAATTCAGACATTCTTGCATTTTTTTCAATGCATCAAATATTCTACATCATTGATTTGCCCCCTGAGGACACAAATATTTTTTTCAATACTAAAGGTAGTCATCCTCTGGATGGAATTTCGCCTCAGCTCAACTCATCAGTTGGCACAATATACTGACCTTGACTCGCATTTCTCAATCGTTTATAGGAATTTTTCGTGAGATACGCCATTGGCAAATTTTGGACAACAATCGTAAAAATAAGCAGAGGTTTTATAATCATGGGGCTGTAGGACAGCACTTGACCCTGATAATTTGAATTATGTATGTAAATTTACAAGATAGGGGTGGAATATGGAATATCCTCTCTAACGTTAGAAAATCAGTGCAAGTTGGTAAATGCACGACCCAAATAAACGACCTCGTCTGTTCATAGTTACGGGACCCTACTGTCCACGTATGGTAACCGGCAACTCTAACCCTTCATTGAAGTGAGAAATCACATAAGGCCGGACAGTTCATCAAGATTTTTCCTGGACTCTAACATCAGTTGATGTCAACACCCCTTAGCAACCATTAGTTCGAAAAATGAAGAAGAGATTGTTTCATCACTCCAGATCAACCATACATACCTTTTCACGTGCAGTTGGAGAGCTGGATACAGGAGCATTTGTTCAAGCGACGAAATAAGCTACTTGCTGTGCACTGACATGTCACTCTAAATAAATGACCCGTCAAATGTGTTTGTAAACCTATTCTTATTAGTTTAACCAATCAAATGTTTGAAACTGAATCCATATGATACCACGGCAAATAAGAATTACCTGTTAACTGACCGACCTCAGTTCACTTGTCCTGATGGAATTTGGGCTTTCGCTGTCAATGTAAACCAAGGTCTATTATAGGGCAGAACAATCCCATTTTCTTTTCCCTGTTTACATTCAAAATCCTTCAATCACCCCAACCTTTTTCACATTCAAGTTTGCTAATGATGTGATTGATGGTTGGCGGTGCATCCATAACAACATCGACCCTTTCATCAACTCCCTTCAATCTGCCGTAGTAGGTTACATTTCTAAAATTTCCGATTGTATTACACCTTAACTTAAACCCAACCAGATTTAGTTATGTAGTTTTCCATTAGTTGTAGGCTATATACACACTCCGAATCACATACTCCCAACATTTTGGTTAATAACTCCAGTGTTGATGGTCCCAGCACTTCAAATACCTTGAATGTTTTCTGTCTGTTGACCCTAAATGGTGCTACGGCCTGCAACAAACATATCGTAAAGTCAGAACACTAACGTTTTACATCTCACACCTTCGACATCTGAGGTTACCGTTGAAAGTAATTTCCTATTTTATTCTCATCGGATCTATTGTTCCCTCGTTATCCGCTCCGGTCTATTGTCTAAGGATATCATATTGATCAGACGCTCTCTGAAAAGCGTCTCTAGATTTGGAGCTGTTTGCTTTGTGTGACGCTGGTAGACTTCATTGTCAACCAACACCTTAGCTTGCTCGAAGTTCTGTGTGACTCTGGTTTGTCTGATGCGTCACATCCTATGCACCCAACCCTGTCTTACTTCATTTTCTTTTCTGTCACCTGCAGTACAATTGAACCTTTATACTTTCACCACAGCATTTCACAACCCATTTCTCCTTTGTCTTGCACGTTTATTGATTCACCGGGAACCACTATCAAATGGACTGAAGTAGATGCCTCATATAGTTCACGGTGCAGCTATGTTCATTTTTACTTTATCCTATTAAATTTACAAATATACTACTTTCAGGAACGGGGAAGCGGCGAATCAAAGGGCTGTCATAATAGGAAGACAGGCGGTGGTGATTAGAGTCGAACACACGTCCTCCGGGGTGATAATTCGTGACGTTAGCACCGAGTCACCACCGCCCACTTCTGCTACGTGTGCTCACTCTTCATCATCACTATCTATTCACTGAATTTCAGTCATATCTTTAAGTACATTTTGATCGCATGTACGTCCAAAGCAAAAGTGTTAACTTTTTCACTAAAAATTCTGTCCTTAACGGATGATGAATCAACTAAATTCTCCACTTGACTTGACTTGACAAAATAGAAAAAATGGGTACCAATTAGTTGGCAAACAAAAATGAAATCACATGTGGAGATTTGATGAGCTATCAAGGATTGATACGCACATAAGAACAACAGATTTTGATGTCTGGGAATTCGCACGGATAAAACCAAAAACAAATTTCATTCATAGAACCGTGCGATCAACTCGCATTCCGGTGACCGTATAGCTCGACAGTAAGTTTCTCTGATACCAACTCGAATGTTTGGGGTTTAGGTCGAGACAGGACAACGCAACACTATATGCACTACTGATCAACCCCAGCCAGCACGAAGCAGCTGTTCAATGTTCTTTTTCATGACCTTTAAACAATTCTGGGGCTGCCTGAAGTCTGGTTACAACTCTGTGCAACAGATCTATTCAACAATTCACATACAAAAACAACACAAAGAAACCACGTATATGAACATAGACTCAAATCCAATGATTTTAACGTAATTGTAGTTTATCCTGCTCGAATTCCTTTTACCGGAGTTGAAGGGGGTAGAACTGGAAGGTACATTATAGACCAAAAATGTTCACAAAGCTCATTACAAACACTAGAGCTGTTGACTTTTTGGGACTGGTAATGAAATAAAATCACTTTCCTGGGAATACTGTTTTCGTGGCACTGTGGCTAATTACTCGGCATTAAATATTGTTAATTTCTTCAATTTGCTTATTGATGAAGTACGATGATCAATAAATGGATCGTAATTGCGCTAATGCAAAGAAACTGACTGCATTGTGACGGTATTTATTGTCTGCTACAACAGACACCTCGAAAAACTTACGGGTATTATTCATGCCAAAAATGCTTATTTCCATCCGGTTTGTGGTGGCAGTTCGAGTTTGATATCGATCCCATCGATTCTTTGTTAGCAAACCTGGTTGTGCGATAAATGCTGTGCCAAAAGTGGCACTCGCGTCTTGGATGGAAACTGATCCACTTGAACTGGTGATAATGAACTGTAAAGAAAATACGTGAAGAATGCAGATTTGTGGCACGTCTGGATTGCCCCAAGACCCATTGAAATCTAGAGAGGTTTCAGAAAATCTAATCTTATTTAATTTTGTGTAAACTAGATTTGAATTTCAAACTTAGTATTCTTTAATTTTCGGTGAGACAATGCGATGTTTCACTGCTATTAAGCCATATCAGTTATTTCAATCGGGATGAAGTTATGTGGTGGGCAGTAAAAGACCTACAGTCAACGACTGAACACAGTCATCTTCTAGAACCGTTTCAATATTTTAGGTATACATTCAAAGCTATATGTGAACTCATCCATTCCATTAAGATTTGAATCCTAGACTTCAAAGACAAAGTTTTTGTGTTGTACAGTACTGTTAATCCAAAACGCCCGCTTTTCCAAATAAACAATGGTTGTGAGGCTCCAAACCATCACTTCGGAATGTTAACTTGGCCAAAATTCCTGTTGTTCTATGTGGATACAAGTTCAGTTGTTGTCGGTTCACATGATATTCGCAACATTGATGGGTGTTCAGCAAGCAGCAAAAATATGTATCCCAGGGGATCATTCCACAAGATTTTTAAGTATTCTGGTCGTTCAAGATAAGCAATGGGCTGAGGGATTGGCTGATTTGAAAAAAACGCCTAGACTGTGGGAGATCATCGTATGTTTACCCTAATGGCTCTCATATTCTCATATACAGCTTTCAACTCTTTCTGGCTCTTTTCAACAGCTACCACCGTTAGCCTCTCAATAAATCCAATCCCCATTCCTTCCTGTCTTGCTGATTCAAAGGAAACAGGAAGCCAGAAATGCAGTGCACGTATTCTTCTTTACTGTCGGAATGTCACCGAAAAATGAACTTCTATCGATTACTGGTGATTGATCATTTCGACAGCACAATGAATATTTAGTTTGGCTATCATCTGATGGGTATAGCGGAGCAAACTTTCTGGACGGTATTGTCAAGGAACAAATTTATCTGCAAATGCTGATCCCATGGTGTTAGGCACATTTAATAAAGCTATTTTTCAGGGTAGCGATACACTTGCAAATCGTTTCTTTGTTCTAACCGGTTTCATGCTTGTCACTGAGCCAAGGTTCTCGCATGGTCCGACTGAGATTTTGTGGGATCAGATCGGAAATATAAATCTTCGGAGAAACGGAAGACTGTGGTAAAGCAGGAATGATTCCGAGTACTACAGTATACAAACTGTAGGTAGCTAGTAAGATAAACGCAGTTATATCAGTAACGTTTGGCAGGTGCTTTTTGGCAAACAATCACTGTGCAGCGTTGAGCACGATTTGGAGAGCTATGTATGAACACAGACACATAACGTTACATCGGTTGGTTGACTGAGGAATCTCTCTGACCTACACGGATATACACGTCAGTCATTACACGCTTAAATGCTGAGCAAACCAATGTTTGATCTGGTCTCATCCGTTAGGGTTTCCCAGTAAACAACCTATTCTGACAATTTTAGAATATTCCCAAGCGCTTAATTATCTGTCCGCTCACTGGTTGAAGTGAGTATATGGAAACAAAACAATAGATAGATTATTGCAACGTGTGACAATGTATGCACTTAATCGGAATAAAACATGCATAAACGTGATCCACTTCCGCTCACATTTCTTTACGATTTTTTTCATTGTTTCAGCAGTTTTTTGTTTTTCAACAGTTACATAATGGAGAGAAGACAAAAACTGCGAGTTGTTAACATTACTTTCAATCTCCTTGGTTGTTAGAACGTAAAACAATCTATAGTATCTATAGTACTTATGCAGGAAAGTTTGGACATCGGTAGTGGTTGAACAGACAGTTACCTGACGCAGTCAGTCAAATTACCTTGGGGCACTAGTTCTGATTCTCCCTTCCAATGACTGCTGTACTTTTAATCACTGTAGATATCAAAACATTTTTTTAATACCAGATTGTTTTAGGTTGTGGAGACTGAGGAGTTAAAAGAATTTTTAATATCCCGCAGTATTAGTTTTCTCTCTGTTCTGACTAACTGGATAAAGGTGACCGAGTGTTCCAATTTGCCTATTATTAAATTATAAGATGATGCTACCGTCACAGATAGTAACTCACACCCAGACACACCTTTCGTACATCAGAACTCACACTGTAATCGGCAAGTTGCAAAGGGGCAAACAAACTGTAGCTCAATTTTAAAACAGATCCGACAAAAACGGGCGATGTGGGGCAGTTCAACGCGAACAGACTTGGTTGTAACGGCGGTCCGACGGTCAGATTTATGTATCCGGCATAGACAGAATTCAAGGCCGACAGGCTAGCCCCGACCGTGGTACGAGTTCCATTTGTGGCTGTGGTTTTCACCACAACCTTGTAGTTTATCTCAAATGCAAAATCTTCCAGTACGAATCCTGCTGTTGCACTGGTTGCTATATTAGCACACATAATACCGATGGTCGTTGTCTGATGATTGGAATGAAAATAAAAAAAGAAATGTAATTGAATAACTTGATAAAAGACTTGATAAAAGACCAGGAACTAAATATCATCAAATACGGCATCATATCCCGCGCCTACCGAACCCACTCCAGAGTAGCTGTCTCATTCCTGTCAGAGACTTACAGCTTCAGCAATTACTTGTCCGTGAATGTCTTGAAACTTTGACCATCAAATTCGGGATAAAATCACCGGTTTTATTATGTACACTTTCGTAAGAAAATGACTTGCTATCGATGATTGGGCCTTATCGAAGCACAGATTGCGACCGAGTAGAGATCAGCGAATCATCAAATGATATTACAATAGAATTCTTAATCAACGCAAGCATTTCCTCAAATACCACTGTGGGAAAGTAGTTGTACAATGACCTTTACGCATTGTGGACTTTGACCAAACTCATCTACGTTGTTATCCGTTTTCTTTTTGAAAAGACTGAATAGATCACGTTTTTCTATGGTAGGCAAAATGTTCGACAGATAAATACCAAATTAATATTCAAGAGAATGATAGCCAAATGTAGAAACATTATAACTCAAAACGAGGAACTCAGCCTTCGGTTATAAAATCACGAACAACAGTGTGAATGTATTGCTTGTTTTTTCCAGTGGCAGAGACGTATACAATGTGTCATATACAGTGTGATGCTCAAGTAAGTAAGTAAACCGTTGTAATTTGCTATAGTAGCCCGGTCATAATTTGACAGACTCACAACCCAACGCGTTCAAGCCTAGGCAGTTGCTGAGGATTTCTGAAACGAATGAAGCAGTTGTTCACTAATTGGCTGACACGAGAGTGGTTCTGAATCACAGGAAAAGATGATTGATTCTATACCCTATACTATACTATACTATTATAAACCATACTATGCCCTTCAATAAACCCATATCCGAAATGAGAAAAAATAAAGTATCAAGACTGTAAAAATTCTCTCAAGAAGTTTCTTCNTTATTGGTAGTTCTTTGTTCATATACAGGTGTTGATCCAACTCGTGCAACATGAATGTCGTTTAGAAATACATTTCGGTTTTCGGTATCATACTTGTATGCTGATGACTATGGGTGAATTGTATATATTCTTAACTTAATTGCCCATTGCAATGTTCTAAGTTCTCTTCTAGTACCGTTATAATTTGAGCGATCTTGATTGTCACGATAAAATTTGAAAGTTAGAAAGTGGCCTCCGAAATACTCAGTATAGTCGGGGGTTGCCAATGGTTAACCTCCCTTGCACCTTGCGAAATGCTTCCATACGACCAATCGTCTCGAATAG